AGGTAATGATACCCGAACTGGTAGAGGTATGGAAGTAAGTGTACAGGGTGATTATAAAAGACCCCCATCTCCCAAGGAATGAGGTATGTGATTCTTGCTCTTTCTGGTCTTGAAGTAATTCATTTCCCTTGCCTTCTCAAGAGCACTAACTTGAGTTTCGGAGTGTTCCAATCGGGTCCCCCCCCCAGAACTCTCCAAGTTCTTCCTTGTTTCAGGCACCTCCGATTCCATCAGAGGCGAAGTAACCGGCAGCTAGGATTGACCGAATTGCACATCATCAGGTTCCCTTGTCACAACTACCAACTTTGACGGTAAAAGTTAAAATCTGGCCTGTTGGGTTGGGTTAGTTGCGGTAAAAGAACATACAAATTTTGTGTTAGTTCTTGACCTTCAATCTACTCAACTATTTTGACATGCGTTTATTTGGTACAAAGATCATTCAATCAAAAAACACCGCCGAAGCAAACAATATGTTAGAGTTGTAGCAATTTCTATAGATCATGGTTTTCAAAATCGGACCGGACTGGACGGTACCAGAAAAACTGAGAACAGGTCATTTGACTGGTTCTGTTTTTCCTCAAACGCGCTTTTCTTCTCAAAACCGTGAATTTTGATCAACAAACCACTAAACTGGCCAATTAACCGTTCGAACCGTTTTTCAAATATTTTTTTAGTTTTTTATTTTTTTGTCAAAATGGGCCAACCATTCGGGTTGAACAGTCAAACCGTTTGAACTGGTAACCGGACCCTAACCGGTTCTATTTTAAAAACATGCTATAGATACCTCTTCGTTGTTAGGTTAGCAATTCATAATCCAGATCGTGGATATGAAATGGGTATCTCCGCTCAGTTCTCACAAAATAAACAGAACTGTAGAAAAAAAGTGCAACAGATCCCGGCTCACAAGGGAGTGGGAGAACCTTCTCCTACATGCAATACAGATTGTCCCTTTGAGGCTTTAAATAGGTGTTCAAACCTTCGCGGCCTTTTTTCTAATCAAATCTGGGATAGATTGAGAGATATAATTCCAATTAATCCAAATCATATGGTGTCAATCCAGGTGAGAGAAGATCAACAGAGATCATGAAGACGAGTTGCATTGTCAGTTATATTCTATGGAGGATTTGGAAAAATAGCAATAGTAAAAGCCTTCTCCCTCTGCCCATTACAATAGAAAAAGCCTTGTGGGAAGCAAGAGAGTTTGATGCAGGTGGCTTAGGTGTCTTTACTGGAATAGGGAGGTTTGCTGACCTAACCAAACACTCTGTTCAAAGTTGGGCTTGGTTTGAGAGCTCGGTCAGATGTTCATAGTATTAAATCTGGCTGCCTCCAAGTTCAGCACTTGGCCCAGGCATCGCACAGACCTTTAATCTAAGTTTGAGCCAACCTGAGCCCAACCAGCCTCCACCTCTGGTATGGCAAAACAACCTCATCTCAGAAGACAAAGTCCAGTCTACTTTGTCATAAGCCCTCTCAAGATCTAATTTGATAATCATTCCTAACTTGCCCAAATGCTTCCTATCTTCAATAAGTTCTGTTGCAAGTAGGATGTTATAGTAATTTGTTTCCCTTTGACAAAAGCTTACTAATTTGGAGAAATCAAATCTCTTATAACTTCTTTAACTCTCCCTACCAAGATCTTAACAATAATCTAAGTTATTGGTCTAAAATCTTTCACCTCTAAGTTACCTTTTTTTTTGAGAATTAGACAGATAAAAATTGAATTCTTACCTTCGTTTATGACTGTTGAATGGTGAAAGTCTCTGAATACCTCCATCAAATAAGATTTAATAGTGTCCCAACAAATCTGGTAGATGAATAAAGGAAAACCATCCAGCCCCAGGGCTCTATCCCCCTGCATGTTAAGGACAGCCTCTCTTATCTCCCATCCCTCAAAACTTCTCTCTACCCAAGCAGCCCAAGCCTACTCTTCCTCCAGTTCTAATCCATTCAAACTAATGTTATTAGGAATAATTGGTATTTGAGTCATTGGGTTAGTATAAATGCTTGTTGGTTATCTGAAACTTTCTTCTTTTGGCTCTGTTTCTAGCATTGGCTATTCATAACAAGAAAATAAGGAAATAAGGCTATTTTTTGTTTGAAGGAAAAAGTTAGGGAAAGCCTTTCGCTACCTTTTTCCTTTGAACCAAACACATCCTGTAAGACTCTTGAGGTACATGGATGCTTCTTTGGAACGTGGCTAATCTATGGTATGAGGTAATGTGCTGTTGCTTTCTTTCTTGTGGTTAGAGGGGGGGTTGAGGTCTGAATATTTAGGTTAATGGGGTAGGCTAGAGAGCTTGAATTTATGTAAGCTCACATATCCACTGTGCTTTGGATAACCTACTTATTTCACCACATCCTCGTTACTATATTAAATGATTTTAAGATATTAAGATTTTTGTTGGATATGAAACTGTAACAGAATAAACATTGTCAAGAAGCACTGAACTGAAATAACCTGTATGAGTTGGTTAGATTAATTGGTAGAAGTAAGGTTACATGCCTTGTGGTAATAGTCAAATAGTACAATGATGTTATCATCATCCAAAGTTTTCCTCAACTATTTGGGATTCCTAACCAAAAGAAGTAAAAAAAAAAGAAAGAAAAACTATTTGTGATTCTTGGTTACGTTTGGTATGTGTTGGAACTATGAACCAGTACTCATGCATTACCATTATTCGAAACCACGATTGACTTTTGTAGACAAGGTTCTTGTACAATGATAAATGAATAACAACAGAAAAAAATAACAGGGTTGATTTCTGTTCTGCTACTTATCCTCCATTTTTTCAAGCAGCTTCTGTTTGACAGTGAGAAACGCAAGCTCCAGGTTCCTCAGCTGGTAAAATGAGTATCATTTGGTTACTGATTGGATCATTATGCACTATATGCTTATAGAAATTAAAAAAAAAAAAAAGGAAGCTTGTCCTATACCTCCTGCATGGCAAACTTGTTATGCATGAACAATCCACAATATAGATCCAGACTATCTTTGATGGTGTTCTCTTTCTGCAGTAAGTACCTTGTGTTAGCCTCAGGTCAGTGTGCTTTACTTTGTCATTTAGGGTGTACTGGTAAATGATCAAACCTCTGATGACATTGTCTATGTAATTAGTGAAAGGCTGGACCATAGGTTTGATCTCGTGGTGATGCATTAGAAAGGTAAAATGAGAAGGATGATAAGAATGGACCTAATAACTAACTTAATTTTAATTTCTTATCTTACCAATTGAACAAGAGTCTGGAAGCCCTTTGTGTCCATGCCTGTGGACTTGATCTCCATTTCAGACAAAATCCTATTAACAACAAAATATTACCTCATGTAAAGAAATAATTCAGGGGTACGGGTGGGGGGCAAGGCAAGATAGGTACCTGCCGATGGTGTGGGTGAGAAATTGACCTCGAGCAGCCAGTTGATCATGTTCTTCGCAAGACATTGCCACCATTCTGCAACCCTGAATTAATTGCAGTATTGATATTGGCATCATAAATATCAATTATCAAAGCTGGGAGATAATAAGGGTAGTTTAGTAATTAAAATCTAATAGCAAAACTGAGAGCCCCAAAGAAATACATACCCAGTCGGCGGTGGGAAATGGGAATCAATCTTACCTCAGTTTGAAAAATTTGAAGGAACCGGGAGCAGGTATCTTCATCCCTGATGCGGACTCTGTCGTAGACGAAGGGAAGAGCCGTCCAGCCATCCTTACCACTCTCGGGGCCGAACATGGGGTGTGTGCAAAGCAAGTCTGATTCTGGTGGGAGTACTTGCAATAAGTGATCTCTTGGGTATTGTTTGACGGAGAGAACGTCGACGAAAAGCGTCGTCTGCCTTTTCAGACGGTGAAATGGGATCGATCTCACTACCTCCGATAACGATAAAATGGATGTGCATAGTAATATCACGTCGTTGTCTGCATCAAAAAATGTGTCCATTTCCCTGTTTTTTGTATTTGTTATTGTAAATGAACAAATCGGATGTTGCGTATGTTGTGTATCAAAAAAAAGAAATGCAGGTTTACAGTTTACAGATAGATAGATATACGAATGTGTGTGTGCGTACCTGAAGAATGGAATACCCAAGTGGGTGCAGAGGTGCGAGTGGTCCGATCGAGATGTGGCTGTTAGCGTATGGCCTTGTTTGATCATAGTGGCTGCCAGGAACCGAGCAAAGGGCCCGAAGCCTATAATCCCAATCCTTAGGGTTTTTGTTGGAGAAGAAGACATGGCGTCGTCTCTGGTACTGATACTCTTTCCTCTTCCTATGTAACTAGCACTAGCCTACAAATAGCTAGCTAGCTACACGACAGCGAATCAAATAAAATCCAATACATCGCGTGAACTGTTTGAATGGGAATGACAAATTTGCAATCAAAAGGGATTTCTTTTGTTAGAAAAATAAAAAATGATGATATGGTCAAACACGCCTCAATTACTAAAATGCGAACACGGCAGTCAGCTATTGACCAAAACCTACTCGAGTAAAAGTACCTCTAAACTCTGAAGTCTCAGAAAATCACTTTTTATTACCTCCTCTTACCGTTAAATTTGACAGAAGAGTCTTTTTTGCCCTTAATTACTTTCCAAATTTTCAAAATATGCCAATAGGAGCCAAATTGTTGATCTACCTCCAAAAACATATTGTAAGCCAAATCTCGAAGCTGAACACCTTTAGTTGGGACGAATCAAACTTGACGTTTTCGAAAAACAGAGCTGAGAGCTCCTCCTTCTTTGCCCAGATCCTCATCTTGTAATCCAAGTTCAACCACCGGGGAGTGCATCAGGTTCAACCAGCCAGGAATATACAGTAATGAAATGGAGGTGCAGTGGGATGATGCTATATAGATTTGCATCAACGTTAATGCTCCATACCCGCCTACCCGGGATGGATTTGATGTATCAAGTTGTTTACTTGGTTGAGGTGGTCCTTGACTCCTTGTTTTTTATGACTATCGAAGGTCCCACGAGTCGTATGTCCGATAGGGAAAGGAGAATCTCCAAAGGGATTTGGCACCGATGCCATCCTCACCGTTGTGTTTGGGTGTTGACAGGGGCAAAATTGAGTTTTAGAAAATTTACAAGTGTCGTGTGATGTCACCTATAAATATGCATATAGACAATTGGTGGACAGGAGTGATATTTGTCATATTTCTGAAACTTTAGAGGTATTTTAGGTAATTGCCAGATAATTTAGAGATGTTTTAAGAAATTTCTTAGTTCTTTCAATAAAATCATTGTCCATATAAATGAGAGTGCAGAACTTTTGTGTAACTAAAATACGCCAGTTGGTCCCTCTTTAATGTAATTTGAATAATTATTTTACTCTAAGGTTTATAGTATTGTTATTTTTATTGGGAGCAACCTGATACGTCCCTACAGAAGGTGTATGGGGGTTTGACTGATTTAGGGGGTGGAGGAGTTTTAAATCAATTTCCCTAAATTGATTTTAGAAAAAAAAAATAAAGGACCGACGTGGTATCAGCCTGTATTGATATTTAAAACCTTGTTTTACTTCTCACTCAAATTCCTTTCATTAAATCTTATATTTATGAGATTAACTCTCTAAATCTTATTTCAGATGTTCGAACTTGCTTACTAGCTAGTGTTGCCTATGCTTTGGTCTCGAAAGAAAACCACCTCATTACTACAATAGGAAATCCATGTCAAGCGGCAGGAAACAAAGATGCTGAATTAATTGCATGTTATAATTAAAGTTCTTCAAACAGCTCAAATGGAAGGAATCAAGAAAGTGTTCATCATATCTGATGCAGAGTAGACAGTGCAAAAAATCCAGAGTAAAGACCACAATGGCAGTTGGTTAGAGACCATGCTCCTGGATCACATATTTTGTTTAATCAGATCATTCAAAGATATCCAAATCAAGCACATAAACCGTAACCAAAACTCTCTGGCTCATTTTTTTTTTCACTTATTGGTCATGTAAATATAAATATTAGCTATGTATGTAATGAATTTACAGTTTTGGCTTTCTGCAAACATTAAATAAAGTTTGCACCTATTTTTCCAATAAATAAAAAAACAGTACAAAAGAAATCCAAAAATTAACTTACAGAGTAACAAATTATAAAAAATCGGGAAGGGATTGAGTTCAGGATCAGGAACGGGGCATGCAAAACCCAGCCACACCTTATTGCCATTCCTAAGAGTTACAGATAATTTAAGAGAGAACAATGAGTGTGTTTTTTTGAAAATACAGTTTCTAAAAACAATGCCATTTTTATTGAAAATTGGCAACAATATATTCTTCATTGTCTCTCCCTCCTCATTATATCCTTCTTAGTCCTTTCACATTACTACACTCAACACCCCTGTTTTCCTCTTCATTAGAGCTCCATTCATTTACATTCGAAAATCTCCAATGACATTGGATGGGCTCCTCATAGGATGGATGTATCTAGGGGCACACTCTCAGGCTATGTTTGATTTGAAAGAAAAAAGTAGGAAAAGGAAGAGAAAGACATGAAAACCAAGACAAAGTTTATAAAGGTTTCTTTGCCTTCTACCTACATTTTTCTAGATTTTCCCTATACATACGAGTGTAAATGGGTGGAAATCTAGTGAATACTAAAAGAAGGGTGGTGAGGTGACAACATGGAAGGACTAGGAAGGATATAATGAGGAGAGAGAATAAAGAAAAAGGCTCGGTTGGGAAAGTGGAAGAGAGAATCTGATGTGGCCAATTTTATTTTTATAATAATAAATAAATTTATATTTTAAAATACAGAAAAAAAAACATACATAGAAGTTCTTTTTTATCAGTATGGAATGTATTTTAGTGATAGAACTGTCAATATATCTCTATATACTAACCTTTGATAGCCGCATGAATACTAAATTGTGTCTTGTTCATATTTAGAATGTCAATTGAATTGGATTTGATTCAATTCCATTCAAGTCAATGTGAATTCATCATAAATAAATCAGGTTCAATCCAATTCAATGAATATTTAGATTTGTTTTGATCTAATATAAATTTATTAGATCAAATCCAATCTCATAATTATTTTGGATCGGATTGGTGTTGGTCCGTCCAGCCTTTTGAACTGGACGGAGTCCGATCTAAAACGGTGTATTGACACCCTTAGTTCATACGATGCCACAACAATACTAAATGATGGTGGTGTTGTCACCATTTACAACACATGTCAACCGCGTGGCAAGTGTTCCCACATGCAGCTGGCCTTTTGCATTGCTTGGCACTTTCTAGAGTCTTACACGAATATCCCTCGTCCCCTCTTAGTAATAAATCAAATTGTGAGAAGACTGACTGACTTGCAATAACTAGTAAGTGAGAGGAAACGCCCCTCCAGGCACCATCCCATTCCCACAAGGCCACAACCCATTACCCTAAAAAGCATATACAGGTGTAGAACAGAGCAGCAAGCTGAAATCTGAGAGGAAATGGCTCAGGATGCATTGGTAACACGCGACGTGAACACCGAGTCATTTCGACTCGTGAGCGGTCATAGCATACCAGCCGTGGGTTTGGGTACTTGGAGGTCTGGTTCTCAAGCTATCAACTCTGTCTTCACTGCAATTGTTGAGGTACTTCCTACTTGCCTCCTCCTAAATCACTAAATATTACACTCCTCCTACTTCTGCTATGGTTTACGGTGTAGATTGTATGTTAATTTGTTGATCTGTAGCCATTTATTTCATGGGTCCTAACTACTAGGTAAGTTTTCAAGTGAGGAACTTCATGAGAGCTGTCATAAAGTGGGACGCATCCAACGGGTTATTTTTATCATTTTCTTAGAAATTCGTTTTCTGGAATTTATCATGATTCGATTCCGATGAAAGAAATCTCAGTAAAGGATGTTTTTCAATGTTTGGTTGGCCTTTGAAAATAAATATTTTAAAAGAGTTATGGTATAAATTAATATTTGTACAACAATGGCTTTTGATGTTCCTAAAATTTTGATGAGTCGCTTTTCCCTTAAACAAAAAGGGATTGATATCTCCTGATTCGCATAACTCATTCAGCTGGTTTAATCACTTTTCTTTTGTTGCTCATATACAATCAACTGCTGCCTAGACGTTGTTTTTGAGGGCAACTATAACATTTTTTTTTTTTTTTGCAATCAACGTTACAGGCTGGATACAGACATGTGGATACGGCTTTAGAGTATGGAGTTCAAGAAGAGGTTAGCCCAACATCAGTTGCTAATAATAAGATTGATGAAGCTCAAATTTTGAGCCTTTTTCGATGATGGTTTCAATTCAACTTTCAGGTGGGAAATGCTCTCAGCGCAGCCATTCAAGCAGGCGTGGATAGAAAAGATCTCTTCATCACATCAAAGCTATGGTAAATGCTTTCGACTCTGCTCTGCAAATCTAGACCCTTCTGTGCAGACCTTCTTTCCCTTCAATATTTGACATACACGTACATCAGATAATATAATATCATTGAATACTTATAACAAGATAGGGAATTGAATCATTGATTTGGTTTGACCAAGAAACACCTGCCATTATTGTGTTTTGAAGGTGCACTGACTTGTCACCAGAGAGGGTAAGGACTGCGTTGATGAACACCCTTCAGGAACTACAGCTGGACTATCTTGATCTCTATTTGGTAAGCAAATAAAAGAAAAGTAGAACCTTTGATTTTGGGATTTTAAATCTAAGCTACAAAACCTTGTAGATTAAATCCATGTTGAAATGCTTTGCAGAGAGCAGGAAATCCCCTCCTGACTCCATAGCTAGTAGTATTAATTCCAGGCTTTAATCTGTTGATAGTACCTATGCTCTAACATGGTTATGAGATATTTGTAGATCCACTGGCCATTTCGGCTTAAAGATGGAGCAACGAAGCCTCCAAGGGCTGGGGATGTGTTGGAGTTTGACATGGAAGGAGTTTGGAGAGAGATGGAGAAGCTTGTGAAGGATAATCTTGTCAGGGACATTGGTGTTTGCAATTTCACAATTACAAAGCTCGAAAAGTTACTTAAATTTGCTCAAACCATGCCATCAGTGTGTCAGGTAAATCAGCACAGAGAGACGTGAGAGAATGTAAGATTCTATCATATCATATAGCAAAATCTGATAAAAACTGTTAAGCATAATAATTGATTTGTTTTTACTTCTTTTTGCTTCAGATCGAGATGCATCCTGGATGGAAGAATGATAAGATGTTGGAAGCTTGCAAGAGGAATGGCATCCATGTGACTGTAAGATCAATCAAGACATCTGTTCTTGGGTTCGATTTGATTTGGACTTTTGGGTACTGTTGATAGCTATAGTGAATGGATAACATCGATCATAATTATCATTGAAAAAGCTCTGTTTCCTAGCTATATATTTATGTATGAGCAGACGCTTCTGTTTATACAGAGATGGGTGTCATGTTGTTAAGTTAAGCTAATTTATAAATATATCTGCTATTGCTATTGCAAATGCAGGCTTATTCTCCATTGGGATCGTCTAAAGGGGGGAGAGACCTCATCCATGACCCAACAGTTGATAGAATAGCAAAGAAACTGAACAAGACGCCAGGCCAGATATTGGTTAAGTGGGCCCTGCAGAGAGGGACCAGCGTCATTCCCAAATCAACCAACCCCGAAAGGATCAAAGAAAACATACAAGTATGTGGATGGGAAATCCCGGCCCAGGACTTCAAGGCGCTCTGCAATCTTCCTAATCAGGTAGGGTACTCCTCTCCAGCACAGGTATCTGTACCTCTGTTTTCATTTGGACGAATTATAACTTGCTCTAGTCTCTAAATCTACTGCATCCGATCGATCGAGTTTTAAACTTTGTTGCATTTAAATTTTGCGTGAGTCTCTGCGTGCAGAAGCGGGTATTGGACGGAGAGGATGTGTTTGTGAACAAAAGTGATGGACCATACAGGAGTGCGGCCGATCTGTGGGACCATGAAGATTAATTGCTTCTGATGATGCAATACAGAATAACATGGGTGTAATTATATAGAGTGCTTTCAGTGTGTTTTATAGAATAAATAAATCAACAAACAGATAGATACCTAGAATTAGTACTGTTCATCCGTGTTCTGTGGTTGATGATATCAGTGGTTTTTACACAACAAATTAGGGAGGTTAAAAAGGTTTTTCACATTTTAACTGAATCGGGTGTAAAATGAAATGGTATGTTTATAACCGAGTCGGTGATAGAGTTCAACGAACAAGTTAATAATAATCCAACTAGCCAGATAGGAGAAACTCAGCTAGCCGCTATTGTATTTATGATGGCTGGGGAAATTTTGATCCAATAATGAGTTATTTGATTTTATAGTCTTTGTTAAGTTTCGGGTAAAATACAAAAAACTTTCCCTGAAGTTTCTGACATTCATAAAAACATCCCATCCCCTATAGTTTTATTGTAACAGATACCTCTCCTGAATTTTTTGAAAAATTGGACTAAAATCTCCTTTCCATTACTGACCGACATTGAAAACGTTATGTTGTTAACAACGGCTCTATGCAAGCAACTCTTGTACTGTCTTTGGACAGAGTCTGAAATAAAAGAAATTAATCCAACAAAATATAAATCATTCATTCTAATATTCTATTCCTGCATATAAATACAACTATTGATCTTATTTATCGTACAATGAATATATTATCGATGTTGATGACAAAAGCTTCAGGGTTGGGACTTATCGAATGCCATTTGTTGTCAGATCACAGTGAAGTTTTTGTTCTAAGGGTGGGTTCTGGCTTTTGGCACTGCGGATAGTAGTTAAGCCTCATTATCGATTCATTTCTTTCAAAAAAATCCGGACCTACGAAAAAATATTTTAGGAAAAACAGAGGAAATATTCATTGAGGACGTTGAGAAAATATTCTTCTACGGTTTTGTGTGGTTGTTACTAGGACGAATAGCTGAAAGAAAGGATTTTTTTTCAAGGTAGTTTGAAGAAGTAGCCAACTCTCACCGGGCTTCTTCTGAGCCCAATGCTTTTTGTGGAGTAGTATGTCGAAGAACAAATCCATGTAGCGATGAGCATCAACTATGAGTCGAGATTTCACTCTGTGACTTAGAAGAAGAAAGAAGCCATGTTTCTTATATGCCTCCCCCACAAGCTTCAATGCTTCTCAGGCTGCAGTTGGGTCCCTGAAAAGGAGACCATTTTATGATTTTTTTAAACTAATTTTGCAAATACATACATTTTCTGATTGTCAGAAATTTTAGAAGAGGTTTTTGTATTTTATCCTTTTAGTTTTAGTGTTTATGCCGGTGGAGACCCGTGCGATGGGTTTTGTTAAGAGTTTTTGAGATGAAAAGATTTAAGGGTATAATTCAAGTGGGGTCAACCTATAAGTTTGATTTGACTCAATTGAAGGTTTTTCACAGGTTGGGTTTGAGTTTTTGAACTTTAAACTCAGTTTGGGCAAAAAAACTTAGGCCTAATTTAAATTTGGATTGGGCTTGGATTTATGTATCTAAGTAGTGTAGTCCTATCCGATCCAATTTGAGCCTATCCAATATTTTATGATATATATTTACATATTATCAATTTATTCTATTTACAAATTGGGCTATAAAGCTAAACACACCCAAGCCCAAGTCCAGCTAGAGAGATGTTGGATTAAGAGGTTGGGCCTAGACCGGTAAGAGAAAAATTATTAGTATTTTACAAATTACTGATAACTTACTAAGAAATAACAAAAATAGAACGATAATAATTCTGGATAATTTACCAATCAAGGCTTAAGTTTACCAACCCAAGCTTAAGCCCGAATTTACCAACCTAGGCCCAACCCGAGCTTTACTCAACATCTTAGGCTATGATTGAAATTAGGATTGTTGAGTTTTATAGCCCGATTTTTAAGCAAAAATATATTGATAATATGTAGATATGGATATTGTAAAATATTGGGCAGGCTCAAATTGAGTTATGTAAAGCTTAGGCTACCCAAGGCTTTACTGGTAATTTTGCTATTTTCTTGGCAAATTGAGAGTTAGTGATATAACCAAGGCTCATGTTTACCAATCCAAGCTTAAGCCCAAATTTACCAACCTATGCCTTACCTGAGCTTAACCCAACATCTTGTGTTGGGTTTTGGATTAGGAATGTTAAGTTTTGTAGCCCAATTTTCAAGCAGAATATATTGATAATATATAGATATGTAATATAGGGTAGGCTCAAATTGGGTTAGGTCAAGTTTAGGATACCCAAGGCCTTACTGGTAATTTCTAGTAATTTTGTTATTTTCTTGGCAATTTGAGAGTTAGTGGTAATTTCTAGTAATTTTGAATACACACTCTGGTAACTTCGAATAATTACTGATAATTTACCAATAAATAATTAACGGGAAATACTAATAAATTAATAACTACTCAAAACGACACATAATGCTAATTATCGATAATTTCTAGTAAGTATTGCTTTTCAACAATTTCTAGTAATTTTTGGTAATTATAGATAATACTAACAATTTAGTGATAATTTCAAGTAAAACATTATTGATAATTTTCCAATAAACAATTTATTGATATTTTCTAGTAATTTTAAAAAATTACTGATAATTTTTTGGTAATTCTAGTATTTTTGTTGTTTCCCCCAATAAATTGAATATTACTAGTAATTTCTAGTAGTTTTATTATTTTCATGGTAAATTGAAAGCCAATGGTAAATTGAATAATTATTGATAATTTACCAATAAATAATTCATAAGAAATAAAAAAATTAATAACTACTCAAAATGACAAATAATTTATGGTAACTACCCATAATTTCTTTTAACTTTTGCTAATTTCTGACAATTTCTATACTTTTTTTTGTAATTTTGAATAGCTTCACTTAACTTCTGGTAATTACTGATAATATTAACAATTTATTGATAATTTCTGGTAATTTTCAAAATTTACTGATGATTTTCCAATAAATTACTTATTGATAATTTCTGATAAATAATTCAAGGAAAATAACATTAGGTTATTGAATATTTCTGGTAAAACTAAAGAAAAAAATTAATAATTATAACATAATTAGTATAATTCAGTAATTGAATGTTTTTGTAATTTTCAATTCATACTCTTACTTTTAATATAAATAGTAATGTTACTTTTTGGTATCTTTTTACTTTTAATTAACAAAAATTATAGAAATAATTGTAATTATTAAAAAATAACACTAATTATAAATAACAGAATTAATACCACTAATTATACTTATTAAAAATATTTGATAACTATTAATGGTAATTGATGGTGCGCAATCCGGCCGGTCCTAGCTATCAACGATCTTGCCTCGGGCTGGAGCAAAAGGTGCCTGAAACGGAGGAAAAAGCGAGTAATCTCCAGGGAAGAACCCGGTGAGAGTGCTCTGAAGCTCAAGTTAGTATTTCCTCAAAGGCAAGATAAAAAACCAGATGGCGCAAAGTTATCACATACCTCTCTTCTTGAGGGGAAGGGGGCCTTTTATAGCCACTTTGCGCACTCACTCCCAAGCTCCTGTCAGGTCGGGTATCATTACCTCTGCACTTCTGCCAGTTCGGGTGTCATCACCCCTGCTGGGGCAGAACCGCCACTGCTCTCTTTGTCAGAGCCGTCTCTGTAACTAGAGGTGGCGGTGGCAGGTGGCCGTTGAAGTGCGGCTATCAAGCGTCAGATCCTAAGTCATTCAGGTGTGCCGCCTCAGGATACGGACTCCTTTGGTGTCAGGTACAGTAGGGTTGTTTAGTTCGGCGACCTAGAGACAAAGTGCTGGAGTGGTGTGCGAGGTGAAGTCTTGAGTTCGGATAGAGGTGTGGCCCGAATTGCCCTGGGGCGGGCCAGTTCGGGTTGTTGCCCTTTGCGCTCCTCGTAAGGTTCGGGGTCAAAGGGAGAGTTTGGGCTCCTTTTGGGGAGCTCGGACAGCTGGTTCCTCCTTTTGGAGCTCGCGCCTGGGGTATACCGTCATGTCGAGCTGGTGCCTCTGCCACGTGTTGAGTGGTTGCGAGGTCGGGCCAAATCTTCCTTCATCAATTGTCCCCCACTCCTTGCGCTAAGGGGCTTGGCGCAGGGAGTTCGCGAGGTGGCGGGTGGATTTGACCCGTATTTCGAACTGGTGTGATAGATAGCGTGAAGTGCGCGTTCATCAGGAGTTCTCCGAGTTTTTCGAGCGCCAAAAAGTCAGGAAACGCGTCAATCCGTCTATAAATGCTAAAAGACGTGACAGCATGCGTTTATTTCAAAATTTAAAAAACGCGTCGCTGGGAGACATGACAGCGTGCGTTATTTCAAATTTAAAAAATGCGTCGCTGCCGCCTTTAACATGGGGAGACGTGCGCCGGTGCCCCTTCAGTTTCAAAAGACGTGCGGCTAGTCACGTCTCGGTCTTAGGAGACGTGCGGCCAATCATGTCTCGGTCTTAGGAGACGTGCGGTTAGCGCGATCGTGGGCCGTTGGATTTGCCTCGATCAGAACCGTCGGTTTCGGTCACTATGGGTACAAATAGTGGGGGACCCCAGTCGCTTTTCGTTGCCATTCTCCTGTGTTTTGCTTCTTGAGCTTACGTCCAAGTTTTAGCTCGCGTCCAAGTTCTTAGCTCACGTCCAAGTTTTCGTAGACCGTTTGCCTTTTTTCCAGGTGAGTATACTTTCTTCCTGGTATCCTTTTCTTCCCGATGTCTAGCTCGGATAGCTCAGACAACTCTTCGAGGGGGTTAGATGCAGGTTCTACGAACCGAGCTGTATCCCCCAATAGCCTTAGTGAACCCGAAGTAGAGCCGAAGCTCGAGGAAGAGTTTGAACCCGTAGGCCGAGTCGCCTCGGGTAGTTTGGCGTCCTCCTTCTGTCGAGGTCGGACGTTAGACAAGTTTGTGCCCTCGACCATGACGCCTGAGAAACTTTACTCCCTTATCACCCAGTTCAACTTGCCTAGGGAGTACACTTACTTTATACCCTCGGGCGACTTCCCTTGGGAACACGGTCCCAATGAGATCGTGATATTCCGGGAGCAGCTCGTCACTGGGTTGCGCCTACCTTTCCACCCCCTTATCGTCGAGGTTATGAACCATTTCGGCGTTACCGTCGGTCAGATTCACCTGAATTCTATTCGTAACTTGGTGGAGACTATCTCCCTTTTTTGCGAACAGAT